ACCCCCACCCCCGCCACCCAGGTCCACGACCGCATGACGGAGGAGGTCTACTCGAAGCCCGTGGCCAGCTTTGCCGTCGACGCCACCCCCGCGCCCACGATCACGGTGCCCGTGCTCGAGCAGGGCCGCGCCGCCCTGGAGAAGATCAACAAGGTGGGGTGCGCTTGTTTCGAGTCAGTCGCAGCGGCTGCCTCAGTGCTGTAAATACCAATACCACTGCACCCGCTACCACAAGCCCTGCACGCATGTTGTATACATGCACGTGCACGCAGTGTGTGCGAGTTTTCAAGCACGTCCACACTCACATATTTGCTCCCCCTGGCGCCCCATCACGCAGGAGATGGGCCTTGCGTTTGATGAGTGGGACCTGGACTACTACACGCGCCTGTTCAAGGACATGGGGCGCGACCCCACCAATGTGGAGCTTTTCGACATTGCGCAGGTGGGGGGCCGCACAGGGGGCTTGGGACGGGAAGCGGGCGGGGGGCTGGTCGCGCAGGTTGCAGCGGGCTTCTTCTGGGGGCAGGGACCTTCAGGAAGCGCGCAGCACTGCACGCGTTTTGACGGCAGCCCTCCAGATCCTGCTGAAATGCGCGCATGTCCCCGCAACGTGTCTCACTGACATGTTTGAAAAGCACTGACTGGTGGCAAGCAGTCCTGCCTTCCGTGGGCCTGCAGCTGGTCCGCGGAAGCCGCCCCTGCACCCAAGCCCCATGCCACCACCACCCTGGCTGCTGCACGCAGTCCAACAGCGAGCACAGCCGGCACTGGTTCTTCCGCGGCGACATTGTCCTCGACGGCGAAAAGATGCCCCACAACCTGATGGACATCGTGAAGGCGCCCCTGGACGTGAGCAATCTGATCTGGGAGATCTGAATCTATCAGATATGTCGTGACGTGAAGCTCCCTTATCGATTCTTGTGTTTTTTGACGCCACACAGCATGTCCTGGCTCTGCTGCAACGTCGCATCGTCGCCCCACCTCCATATGTGTTGCCGCAGGTCAACCCCCGCAACAGTGTGGTGGCGTTCAAGGACAACTCCAGCGCCATTCGGGGCGCGGAGGTCTCGCCCGTGCTGCCCCTCAACCCAGGCGGCCCCAGCGCGCTCGCGCCCCAGGTGCGCACAGGCACATGCGCACGCCCGCAGCCTCGCTCTTTCTTCGCCGCGGCGAGGGGCCAGCTGCGGGATGCGCTTTGCGGGCCCCCACCGCTTGGGCCGGGCGGTCAACGCAACTCATTTTATCCCCGCAGTATCCTTGGGTGTCCCGCCTGGCCTTGGGTGGCGTTTTGATACTGAGCCGACCAAGAGGGTGGCCAGGGCCCCTGGAGCGCATCTCCACGCCAACCCCAACGGAGGGGCGAGGTCATGCCACGGTGAACCACGTGCACGACCCCGCCCCTCCGCTCGGGCGGCCGCGCCCACTCCCTCAGCCCGACGTCGCGCCCTACCCCCTCGACACCCAACTCAGAGCTCAGAGCCCCGGGATCAGCACCCAAGCAACCAGCTGAACCCCTCCATCGATTCCACACTCGGATCCCGCCATCTAACTTGCTCTTCTTCCCCCCCAAAAAAAACCCAAAACCCCACCCCAGCGCCGCGACTGGGACCTGCTGCTGACGGCCGAGACCCACAACTTCCCCTGTGCCGTGGCACCCTACCCGGGTGGGTCCCGCTGGGCCGCGTCCTCTTTTTGTCTCACTGATTGATCCCACAGGATTGGGTTTGCAGGGGAGGGCGTCTCATTGCGTCCAGGGGAGTGCAAATATAGAGGTGGCGGGAGGATGGTTTGCGGCATGCCCTCTTTGGCTGTGGGCAGGCTGTTGCGCTCTGCCGGTCAGAGCCGACACCAGCCTGCCCATGAGGCGAAGGCCCCTTGGCAGCTGCGCAACGGTTTTTACTTGCGTCTTTTATTTGCGTCGTTGTGCAGCGGCTTCCTGCTCGCGGCGCACGTGCTTCATGCTCCTGCGGGCACGCTTAGCATCGCCCAGAGTGCTCCAAGCGAGCCCTGCAGGAGCACGACGCTATATGTTTAAAAACAAAGTTTTGGGGGCAAGCTTTTTTTCCATCCCCCCCCTCTCCCATCAACCGTGTCACAGCGTGCGCACACACAAGCATGCACACACACACACACACACACACCCCGGCCCGAGTATCTGGGCGGCCGGACGCGCCCCCTTTACCGGGGGCGCGGCAGGAACGCTGCCTTCGACACGCGGCCCACAGTGACGCGCTTGGCTTGCGACGTGCCCCGCCCTGTTGATGGGCGGGCGCACTACTTATTGCCAGCCACATCACCTTGAGAATCCTCTTTACTCATGATCGGTCCCGAGAGTTCACATCGTTACCATTTATGAATGTCAGTATGTCGTGACGCGAACCCAATCCTGACCTAATCCCTGCCTCTTACGATTCGCTTTGGAAACCAGGCGCCGAGACGGGCGCGGGCGGGCGCATGCGCGACACCCATGCGACCGGCACCGGCTCCATCATGGGCGCCGGAACCGCGGGCTACTGCGTGGGCAACCTCCTACTGGACGGTGGGTGGATCCTGAGGCAATGACATCATGCGGTGTCTTGAACTTCATGTGCGGGCCCGCCTGGCCGAGCGACCCAAGCGACGCCGCATCTGCTGCTTCTCAAATCATGGCTTTGGGGCCTGCCCTTTCAAACTTTCACTTCACCGCCTCGTCGTCCCTGCCTTCACAGGTGCCAACCGCCTGCCCCACGAGGACCCCGAGGCCGCCTACCCCGACAGCCTCGCCCCGCCACTGCAGGTGCGCGTTTCAGGGTGTCTCCGGTGTGAGGGGAGTGGGCGAACAAGACTGACGTGCAGTACAAGGGATTTGATGGCGCGGCAGCGAGTTCACAAGCCCCAAGCTTGCAAATTCCGGGCAGTTACTCCGTCTCCCTCCTTATGTCCTCGTCCCTCCACTCCCTTGCACCACCCCACCGCTCACTCCTCACCCCTCAACCCTCTCTCACCCTCTCTCACACTTCACCACTATCACCATAATCATCACCCCCCAACCCCAACACCCCCTGCCAGATCCTCATCGACGCCTCCAACGGCGCGTCTGACTACGGCAACAAGTTTGGGGAGCCGCTGGTGGCGGGCTACACCCGCACCTTTGGCCAGCGGCTGCCCAACGGCGAGCGCCGCGAGTGGCTGAAGCCCATCATGTTCAGCGGCGGGCTGGGGCAGATCGACCACAGGCACCTGCACAAGGACGACGGGGAGGTGCGCGGCGGACGTGCGCACACACACACACACACACACACACACACACACACACACACATGCTGAATGGTGAATAGAAGCGATGCACAGCGCTGCATCGTGGGTAAACCCTAAGCCTTTGGGCGTCTGCAGCCTGTTCGAAACCCCTCTGCCTCCTATCGCCAACCGTGCCCCCCC